GTGAAGGTGCTGCTGCCAGAGCCGTGGGGCTTGCTTGATCCCGTAAAGGGATTTTTCCAGCTGGCATACTTTTGAAGGGTCGTCGATGAATCCGTGGGGTTGTTCGACGAAGATTTCGGCGTCCACAGGTGCGTACAAGAAGGCGTTTGCGACGTCGATTTGCCGTAGTGGTAGTTTCTTCGTGGCCGCGACGGCGAGTAGGATGCGCAGGGAGGTGTGACGGGAGACTGGGGCGAAGGTTTCTGTGTAGTCGGTTCCGTATCGTTGATCGAAGCCTCGTACGACCCATCGCGCTTTAAAACGTTCGATGGAGCCGTCCGCGTTGGTCTTAATGCGGTACACCCATTTCCCCGAGAGAATGTTCCTCCCGTTGGTGTTGGTTGTCGGTACTAACTTCCATGTATTCCGGTCTTGGAGGGCTTTTAACTCTTTTTCCATTGCTTCCTTCCATTTCTCCTTATGTTCCCCCCCCAGAGCCTGCGACAGGGTCGACGGCTCGCGCGGAGAAGGTGGCGGCGGGTGCTGGACGGAGACCCATAGTCCTAGGATCTGCAGTCCCGTGGCTGTGTGTCGAGGGGAATTTTCATTCTCGGGATAAGCTGCTTCATCACCGTCTTCTGGATCGGGTAAGAAGTTTGGCCCGATGCGTTCGGAAATGTTCGAGTCGACGGGGTGTGGTGTAGCGTAGCCTTGGTCAGCGAAGTGGTAAAAGGTGTCGAGGTTGTTGCTATCGAGGGGATTATCTTCATCGAGTGGAACAGGTACGGAGCAGTAGGGGAGTGGTCCGGCAGCCTCCGAGGCTCCAGGGACGTCTTCTTCTGCTGCGTCAGCCTCGGCAGCATGGTCAGCGAAGGAGCGAAGGCCCGCGAAGCCGTCGGTGGGGTCGTCTGAGTTGGCAATGTTGTCCAGGTAATGCTGCAGCGTCAGTCGCTCGTAGAAGATAACATCACGTGATGCCACCGTATTTTTGTCCTGTATGTCGAGAATCTTCCACGCGTGAAAATGTTTGGCGATGCCGAGGTGTAGTCCCCACCGAGCTCGTTGAGTGAAGCGTCCTGCTCGAGCTGTGTGGGGTCTGTATTGTACCATGCAGCCGAAAACTCGAAGTAATTTTGTGCTGCCCCTTTTTCCCGTCCACAGCAGGTGCGGTGATGCGTTGTTGGGGAGCGATGACGAGGACAACAGGTTGTGCAGGTGGACTGCATGTGTCATCGCGTCTGGCCACAGTGTGTTGGGCAGTTTCATCCCCAGGAGCAGCTTTCGCATCGTCGTCTGTAAGGTCCGGTTCATGCGTTCTGCGACCCCCTGTTGTTGGTGAGCGTATGGTAGGGACACCAGGCGCTTGATTCCTCTTTCCGCCAGATAGGTCCTGAAGCGTTGTGACTGGTATTCCAGTGCACCGTCTGACTGGAAGCTTTTGAGCTTGGTTCCTGATTCCCGTTCGGCGATGGGGAGCCATGTTGTGAAGGCGTCGAAGGCTTGATCGCGCGTCTTGAGGTTGTAATGCCAAGTGTATCTTGTTGCTGCATCGACGAAGGTGATGACGTAGTTGAAGTCGGCTTCCGTGTCGTCTCGAGGCATGTTCAAGATGTCGCTGTAGACTTTTTCCATCGTTGCATATGCAGGCGCGCTTGGATTATGATGTGATGGGAAGGGTTGATGAGGAAGATCTGCTTCGGGGCACGTGAAGCACCGTGCGCGAGGTCGTCGAAGTTCTTGGCCGCTCGTTGTTAGAAGGGCGTTGCGTTCTAACACTTCGGCTTGGATGGTTTGTAGTATTGTACTATTTGCAGGGTGCCCGAGGCGTTGGTGCCAGATGTCGTCGGGAGCCCGATGGCCGGGTGAGCGGTGGTATATGTCGGCGTTGGAGAAGAACGCGACGACTGAGGCGGGACTTCGACAAACTTCTCGTGTGACGGGCATAAGCTGGTCTGCTTCGGTTGGCGGTCCTCGGATCGCTGGTGGTGGGACTCGGCTGGGTCCTGCTGCCGATACTGCAGGTGATGGTTTTGTTGGGACGCTTGCGGGTACTTGTCTTTCTTGTTTGATGACTGCTAATGCTCGTGTTCTCTCTGCTGCAGGTATGGTGTTGGAGTGCCAGAAGCCATCACTGTCGAAGTCGGGATCAAGATCTGGCGGGTGAGTCCAGGCGGCGAATGATACGATGCCATCGCTGTCGGCAGTTCCGCGGTCGGGGACGAAGTCCAACACGAAGACGCCGGACTTCAGGAGGGCACGACCGATGAAGAGGCCGCCCTTCCCGTGGTAAAGCCGGAACTCGTTGGAGTAAGAATCGCACTCCAGGTGAATCCCCTTGGCCATTAGTTGGCTTACGCTTAGTAGGTTGTATCCCAGATTGTCGACAATGAGCACCTTGTTGAGTTGAAGTATGACATTCGTCTCCATTGATTGTAACTGAACCACGCCCTGTCTGTTTGTCTTCAGGTTTTCGTTGTTGGCGACGGTGATGACGACGTCGCGGTTGAGTCGTTTCTCCTGTTGCACGAAGCGTCCCGAGGAGCACATGTGTTGACCGCAGCAGCTGTCCAAGAACCAGGTGTTTCGCCCGGTGGGTTCGGCGTTGGCGACCGCAGCGTATGTCGGGTTGACCTGAAGTCCTTGTGAGCGCGGCGGCGGGAATTCCTCTTCGTCTGGTGCGTAAGTGGGTGGTGATCTGGGTGCGCAGTTGTCGATGTGTACCATGCAGTTGATGATATTTGGTGTCCCTTGTGCAGATGTTGAAGAGCGCCTTGGGGAACTTGCTTGAGTGGAAGCAACTTGTGGGTCTGCTGTTCGGTAAACGCGAGGGCGGTTGCAGTTGACTTTGGAGTGTCCGGAAGTCTGGCAGTTGTGGCAGAACGGCGGCACGATGGTGAGTCCTCGGTTGTCGCGTTGATCTTGCTTGCTGCGTCGGTTGTAGTTTATGTCATTTCTTCTTTGAGTGTAGAAGACTAACTGCTGTTGCTTCCTTGGTTGTCTTTCCTCGAACAGATCCATCTCCTGTTGTTCAGCGTGAAGCTCGGCGCAGAGGTGCATCTCCGAGATCCTTCCGTGGGCGCGAAGAAGCGATCGTGTGGTTCTCCATTCTGGTCCGAGCCCGGCGAGGACAAGTGTGACGAAGCTTTCTTCAGTGATCGTTCCTCCGCACCGAAGCAGGCGGTCGCGCAGGGTCTGGCAGCGACTCATATACTGCATCGCCTTTTCCCCGGTCTTCATCTGTATTGTTGTCAGCTGTTGCATGAGTCTGCTTTGTGTCACGCTGTCGTTTGCTTGGTAGAGGCATTTGAGATGATGCCATGCGAGTTCCGCGGAGTTTCCATAACTCCGATACGTTCTGATGCTCTGCTGCTCTTGTGGTGACAGGTTCCGCAGGAGGACTGTATACGCCAGTAGCGACTGATACGTGAAGATCTCTTGTTCCTTTCCAGTGCCGTTGCTTGGGAATGGCAGGGACCCGTTGAAGTATCCCAGAAGATGCGCGGCCTCCATCAGCAGCTCAAACTCGAAGCTCCAGGTAAAGAAGTCGTGTCCGTTGAACGGTGAGGATGTTTGTAACTTGATGACGTGTGAGAATTGAGCTTGAAGACTGAGAATCTCGTTTGGTGTTTGTTGTGATGCAGCTGCTGTTGGTTGGGCGCGGGGCGGCATGAACTCGAACGTCCCCGGTGAAGAATGATAAGGCGCAAAGGTAGGTGCTTGGTTGTGTCGCCCGAAGGATGAGTTGTCGAGGCTCATCGGCGCTAATCCCATGTTTCCTCCATTGCTCTGTGTTGAATGCGCAGGTGTCCTTGTCTGCTGTTGCTGGTCGAAGTGTGACATGAAGCTGAAGAATCTCTCCATGAGATTCGGGTCCACACTTGAAGAGGGAGACGGAGTCACCATCTCTGGTACTCTTCCTGTTGTTTCTTGAGCAGTCCCGGTCTCTGTCTGCAATCCTGAGGTGTGCAGACCAGAGTTGCCGTGTTGAGTTTCTTGGCCGCTGGGTGAGCCCGTAGAGGCTTTCTTGCCCTTGCTGTCCATGTCTTGTAATCAATGAAGTCGTTGAATTGAGTTGAGTTGCAGTTTGTTGATGGAGCGTAGTTGCTGGGAGTTTGATCTCTGACCAGCTCTCATACCATGTTGGGCTGAGAAAAAGCCCTTAGGATCTTTTGCAGAGACTAAGTCCCAGCTTGTAGAGACTTGAGACTTGGAGTAGTGCAGCGGAAGTTGAGGCAGTTGAACCCTTGTACTAGTATGTGAGAACAAGTGATTGATTAAAGAAACAAGCATACAGCAATATATAGAAGATAAGAAAGCAGTTGTAGAATACAGTTACAGGAACGGTTTATCGAGTCGCACAGCGACTCGATTGCCGCTTCGGTTACCATCCGTGATGTTGTAACAGTCAGTCGCAACCTCCAGTTGCGACCTTTCGAGTCCTTTCGCATTCTTTGTCCGCCCCCTCGTGTAACCTCCGTTGACTCGCGTGCTCCCCTGTAATCTTCCTCGAGTACAGTGTTACACTTCAGAAACGCTTAAGTCCTTGAGATATTTCCAACAAAGTGGAGCCACAAGTTGTAGGTCATATAGGCAGTACCATAATCTGCTGGGTGATGATGATTATGCTGTTATGATTGCGGTGTAGTACTGTCTCGCGATGGTGAAAATCTACTGTCTCGCATTTACAACTCTCATCACTTGTGTGCCAACCAATTGTCCACCAATGGAAGACACATCTACATTTAGAGTGTAAAAAAGTTGGTGAAACCAATTCTGTACAGGGAAACTTATGCAACCATGTGGTAAAGTGTCGTAACATGATAGTGGGCTATTTAGGTGGCTAGATCATATTATGTATGAGGGTGCAGGAGATGGCAAGAAGGAAGACGCTTGCTGTAAGACAACTACTAGTGAGCTCGAAGCACACAATAACGAACCGGGAACGCCTGTCCTCCGCACTGTACAGTTCTGTACAGTCCATGGTTGGTGGCGAGAAATAGAAACGCCTGGGCGCGTCAGAATCTGGGGAAGGGATACCTGCCTGACGACCAGCATAGGCTGCTTCCGCTGATGTTAGAAATGAGAGGTTATAATACTCATGTTGTTCTTAGTACGTACATAGTCATGGGGTAAATTATTTCGTTGTAGCTCGAAAGGCTCGTCTAAGCGCCTAAGCTTCTCGGCTTGCGACGATCGAGATCAGGGTCTTTCTTGTCTACCCTTTTCAGCTTGAGCGAAGTCAAAAGTAGTAGGAAATCGTGTGTCATATTATTTCAGTGGTATTTAATTAGTCTTAGTTATTCCTCATTCGTCTCCAGCTCATACGACTACCAGGCATCTCATACACCAGACTACTAGGTTCGTTGGAGGCGCCTCAAAACTCGAATTATCGTTGGGCGACAATGGATGCTGGCGGATCGTCGCAGGGTCGCAACCGTCGCTCGGCGATTTTCCCGGTCGTGTTCGCCCTCGGGATTGTCGCATTGTCGTCGGTGCTCCTGTACCTGCAAGAGGCTGGCGCGCTGGGGAGGAGCCAGGGGAGCAACGCTGCTTGTGCGGTGTGGGATGATAAGGTGGGTTGTTGTTGATAGTCTGCTGAAAATGTTTCCTCGTAGTATTCACCCTTGGGATTGTCGCATTGTCGTCGGCGCTCCTGTACCTGCAAGAGGCCGGCGCGCTGGGAAGGAGCCAGGGGTTCAACGCTGCTAGTGCGGTGTGGTATGATAAGGTAATGCCAATGAGAAATCATTTGCAAGGTGGTTTTTTAGTCGACTGAAGAATCACCTAAAGACAGGGGAGGAGGCCAGGGGAGCAACGCTGCATGTGCCGTGTGGGATGATAAGGTGAGATGCCAGAGATTTGGACGTTTTAACGCGACTCAGAAGTTGGTTGTAGTGTTCGCCCCAGGATTGTCGCATTGTCCTCGGGATTGTCGCGTTGTCCTCGGGATTGTCGCATTGTCGTCGGCGCTCCTGTACCTGCAAGAGGCCGGCTGGGGAAGGGAGGAGGACAGGGGGGCAATGCTGCACGCGCCGTCTGGGGTGATAAGGTGAGGTTTTCCTCTTCTTAGAAGATTCTTGTTTTCGTCAAAAAATATTTTTATTTTCAAATCAGGGCTGTTTGCTAGTGTTCTGCCATGTTATGATATCAGGTGTTACGATCATCACGTGTCCTTCTGCACAATTCTTCGGAGTAAATCTGCTGTGTTCTGCTCATTCTTTCTTGTAATCATCGCGTGTTGCTGGTTCACGTGCGTCATCTTTCTTCCGTTCACGCGGACGCGGCTTTCTTCCGTTCACGCGGACGCGGCTTTCTTCCGTTCACACGGACGCGGCTTTCTTCCGTCCTTGTGCATTCCCCCTGGTACCTGTTGACTTGACGTTCGCCTCCGTCCCTCCCTCCCTGCAGGTGGTTCCGCTTCAGGAGCAAATCGCGCATCTGGACCAGCAGGTAGGTACTCTCTCCTCGCAACCAACCATGCCCCTTACAAACAGCCTGCGCCTCCGATTCCTTTTTTTATTTCTTTCTTAGAATAAACATGCAGCAGGCACCTCTCCTCGCAACCATGCCAAAATCATGCCCCTTGCAAACAACCTGCATCTCCTGTGATATGCCCTGCCAAGCTCCCTTCAAATCCATCTCTCTGCTCTGCCTCGTTGTCCCGCCTCTCCTCTTCATGCCTAAAACCCCCATCCTCCCTCCCGCCTCCCCCCACCCTTTCCCCCATGCCCCTTGCCCCTCGCGTCACTCACTGCTGGGGAGAATGCCGTTTCCTGCAGCTGGCGTCCCTCACGGAAAGCATCAGGGTGCGTCCCATAATCCCAGTAGGGTCGCTTCCAAGTTCGTTCTGCCTTACTTACTGCGTATGGTGCCTGTCTGCGTCTAGCTGTGTGCCCGCAGCCCATCTCCCTCGCTCCGTGTTCCTGTCTCTTCGTTCACTGATGGGGCTAGCCACACAGCTAGAGGCAGCCAGGCACTCTTTCACACCTGCACCTGGCGTCCCTCACAGAGAGCATCAGGGTGGGTCCGAGAGCATTACGTCAGCATTAGAGCCACTTCCAAGGTCCATAGGCGTGTAAGGTGCCTGGCTGCGTCTAGCTGTGTGCCAATGTCGCTCCATGCCCCTACATGCCCCTCACATACAGTTCACCTATTGCATGCCCCACCATTTCCACCCCTTCCCCTTCCCCCCTCCCCCCTCACTCTTCCCCTCCCCCCCTCCCACACCGCCCCTCCCCCCTCCGCTCCCCCCTGCACTCAACAGACTCACCAGCAGTCGTTGCTGGAAAGGGAGCAGCTACCGTCAGCTGCCACGGATGCTGACGGGGCCGGGGCTGGCGCTGACGTGGCGTTTGGCGATGCTGACCTGGCACGGCCGGCGCGGCGAGTGGCTCTCGACCTGGTTGAAATGATTGGCAAGACACACCTGGTAGGGGGGATGGGATTGTTGAAAAGGAAGCATTGCGGGGATCGATGACTCATGGACGCACCTGGTAGGGGGGCTGGATGGGATTGTTGAAATGAAAGCATTATGGGGTTTGTTGACTCATGGACGCACCTGGCATGGGGGATGGTATGGGACTAACAACAACGAGGACGCCTTTTGCTGAAGGAGATGAGAGAGAGCCTTGGTAAAGCGGATGGGCACGGCAAGTGGGTCAGGCAGGCAGGCAGGCATGAATGAATGTCAACGCATGGAGCAGCAGACGAGAGCAGGCGTGCTGACAATGTGATGTCAACATCTTTCATTTTCCCATCTCCCTCACCCCCTTTCTCCTCCGCACTAACCCGCACAAACCATCAGCATGCCCCTCGTCTCAAGGAGCTGATGGATCCCAGGGCGAAGCGAGGGCGAAGAGAAGAGAGTGGGCAGGCTGGCGCAGGACAAGGCAGGGAGCCGACGAGCTGACAAAGTCTCTCCTTCCTTTCAATTGCACCCCTCCCCCCCCTTCTCCTCCACCCACCAGGACGCCCCTCGCCTCAAGGAGCTGATCGAGCCAATGGCAAAGCGCGTGGGCAAGTGGGTGCAGACTAGAGGCAGACAAAGGCGCGCCTCTCCATTGCTTTGCACCCCTCTCCATTGCTTTGCACCCCTCTTCCCTTTCGCATCCCCACCTCTACGCCCCCCCCCCCCCCCCCCCCCCAATTCCACCCACCAGGACGCCCCTCGCCTGAAGGAGCTGATCGAGCCCATGGCAAAGCGCGTGGGCAAGTGGGTGCAGGATAAGGTGCAGGACGCATGCCAGCCATGCCGCCCCTGCAACTCCACCATAGTGCTTGTGGGTACGTGCAACCCCACCGTACTGCTTGTGGGTACGTGCAACTGCACCCTACTGCTTGTGGGTATGACTAGAGGCTCTAGAGGCTCTGGAAGAACGAGCAGCTCACAGGCAAGTGGGTGCAGGATAAATTGCAGGACGCGTGCCAGCCATGCCTCCACCATAGTGCTTGTCGGTAGGTGCAGGTGAAGGTGAAGGTGAAGGTGAAGGTGAAGGTGAAGGTGCAGGTGCAGGTTCAGGTTCAGGTGCAGGTGTAGGTGCAGGTGCAGGTGCAGGTGCAGGTGCAGGTTCAGGTGCAGGTGTAGGTGCAGGTGCAGGTGTAGGTGCAGGTGCAGGTGCAGGTTCAGGTGCAGGTGTAGGTGCAGGTGTAGGTGCAGGTGCAGGTGCAGGTGAAGGTGAAGGTGAAGGTGAAGGTGCCCATTTGCCTCAGAGCAAAGCGCATGGGCAAGTGGGTGCAGGGTAAAGTGCAGGACGCGTGCCAGCCATGCCGCCCCTGCAACTCCTCCATAGTGCTTGTGGGTAGGTGCAATAATCTTCTGCCTTGTGTCATGCTACGTGCTTCATAGCCTTCCAAGCTGTTCTGCATCGTGAATGAACTGCCATGTACGGGTATGTATGTATGCACAGACAGTCCATGCACAACCCCCCCCTCTCCATCCGTCAGCCTCTCCTCACAACCCCCCTCCCCTCCCCCCGCTGTCCTCATGTCTCCCACTCGTTGATGGGGTGAGACAGCATGATGATACTTCCTCCCTCTTCCTCCCTTCCGTGCTGTCGCTCTATTGGCCCCTCCCTCTCCTCTCCCGCTCTCCAGTTTTGAGGCGCCTCAAAACTAGACTCCTATCATGCTGTCTCTCCATTGGCCCGTCCCTCTCCTCTCCCGCTCTCCCCTCTCCCCCCCCTTCACCCCTCCTGTGTTCTGCTCCGCCGTCACCCCCAACCCGACAGGCAAGCCCTGTCGGCTTAACGCCTTCCCCACTGCATGCCAAAGGAGGCTGTCCCCCGCTGAGGTGGACGATGAGGAGGATATGGAAGGGCCGAGCGACGACAGGGTGGAGGGGGAAGTTGGGGAGGCGGGGGGAACAGGAAGAAGGAGTTTGGTTGGCTGGAGTGGGGAGGACTTGGAAGGGCCTGATGATAATAGGGTGGAGGCGGAAGAGGGGGAGGGGGGGGGAGCGGGGGGAACGGGAAGGAGGAGCTTATTTGCTAGGATAGGGGGTGGTGGGAGCCTCTCGCCTTGGGATGGAGAGGACTTGGAGGGGCCGGGTGATGACAGGGTGGAGGGGGAAGGAGGAGGGGCAGGAGGAACGGGAAGGAGGAGTTTATTCGGTTGGAGGGGGAAGGCCTTGGAAGGATCGGATGACGACAGGGTTGATGCGATGAGAGGAGGGGAAGCAAAAGGGGCGGGGATAAACGAAGCGGAGATGGAGGAAGGGACGATGGAAGGAGGGGAGGTGGAAAGGGGGGAGGTGGAAACAGGGGAGGTGGAAACAGGGGAGGTGGAAACAGGGGAGGTGTATGGAGGAGGCAGGGAGGAAGGGGAGGTGGAGGCGGGACGAGCAGGTGGTGGAGGAAGGTCGCTCTTGCAATGGGGGGGTTGGGGTGGGAAGGGCAAAGGGGGCAAGGGGGAGGGCGAGCGAGAAGGGAGGAGTGTGTGCAAGAGGGTATCTCCCTTGCACGCGATCCTCGCAGCAGACTCCGCAGATAGGAGGAAGCTGATGAGGGAGCAGGAGGAGAGCAGCAGGAAGAGGCCGCTGTGCCGAGATGGCACGAGTCCGGGGTACTGGAGGGACTACAGCACGTGGGAGCCGTACAACTGCCGATACAGGTGGGTGGTTGATACTGGTGGGTCGGTCTCAGGTGCGTGCGTCTCAACGCCTCAGAACAAGGATGGCACGAGCCCGGGGTACTGGAGCCTGGAGGGACTACAGCACGTGGGAGCTGTACAACTGCCGACACAGGTGAGCATGGGGACAAGGTGAGCCTCTGCCTCTGGTGTGTGCGTGATAAGGCTCAAGGGGACGGGGGAGAGGAGGAGACCTCTGAGGGAGCAGGAGGAGAGCAGCAGGAGGAATATCTACTTCTTCCATGCCCACTCCCCCCCCCTCCCGCCCACCTTCCTTCCCCTTCTCCCTCTGGCCCCCCACCCATCCTATTCCCCACAGGGAGTACACGAAGCAGGAGGTGCACAAGTGCCTGTGCTACAAGTCGGTGCACCTCTTTGGAGACTCCACCACCCGCCCTGGCAGCAGAGTTTCGTCCGCCTCTCTTTCTCTCTCCCCCTCTCTCATCCCCTTCCCTTGGCTCCCATCAACGCAGGGAGTACACGAAGCAGGAGGTGCGCAAGTGCCTGCGCCACAAGTGGGTGCACTTCTTTGGAGACTCCACCACCCGCCACCTGGCTGCAGAGTTCTCGCGCCTGGCAGGAGTGCAGCGCAGGGCGTGGGACTCGGACAAGAACAGGACCGCCCTCATGGACACGGGCGATGGGGACGACAACTCGCCCCTGCCCAGGATTACCTACCTCTTCCGAGGGAAGATGGCGCACCAGCGACACCCCATCGTGAGTCCCCTCTTGGACCCCCTGATGCACAAGAGAAACTTGCCTCACAGGTGTGCAGTGCGGTGCAGTGCAGGGCGTGGGACTCAGACAAGAGCCGCACTGCTCTGACGGACACGGGGGATGCGATAATTCTCCGTTACCTAGCAACACCCGCTTGTGAGCCTTCTTCAGGGGGAAGATGGCCCACCAGCAACACCCGATTGTGAGTCCGTTGCACCTTGTGCACTCGGGAATCTCGACTGGCAGCGCAGGACATGGGACTCAGATAAGAGCCGCACTGCTCTGATGGACACAAGGGATGGGAATGATAGCTCGCCTCTGCCCAGGATTACCTACCTGTTTCGAGGGAAGATGGCCCACCAGAGACACCCCGTAGTGAGTTCCCGTGTGCACCCCCAAGGTGTGCCTTGTACTTGTACCGTCGTGTGCCTTCTGGAGAGTCCCGCTTGGCGGCGTGCCCTGCAGGGCATGGTCTCGGACAAGGACCGCACTGCTCTCATGGGCATCCGGCTTTCGTCGGGCCCAGTGCGCGGCAACCGGACACGATGGTGATGAGCACAGGGGCGCATTAGGTGATCGGGTGGACCAGGAGGCCGCGGCCCGAACTGGACTTGCGGACGTGGCACGTGGTGATCTGATTGACTTCCTTACATTCCCTCTCCCTTTCTCTCCTATTGTCTCGGTTTGTCGCTTCTCCCCTCTCCTCCATTCCTTAGGCCGGCGTCCCCCCTGAAAGGGACCTGAACAACGATTTCCTAGAGGCGTTCAGAGACCCCAGTGCGAAGCAGCCCGACACCATGGTGATGAGCATAGGGGCGCACGAGGTGATCGGGTGGACCAGGAGGCCCCCGCCCGACCTAGACCTGCGCACGTTCAAGCGCGACACGGAGGAGGCGATCGCGCTACTGAATGGCACGTTCACTAAGGGGAGGCTGGTGTGGTGGAAGGCACACTACATATGGCCAGGTGAGATGCACTGTACAGAAAATAATCACTTACATACATCGTTCTGTAGAAGGCGGCGCATAGCTGGTGTTACCACCGGGAGTTCATGTTACGCTTGCATCTGGCTCAAAAGAATCCAACTTCATTCCTTTTGATATGTTCAGGGAAGGTTCAAGGGCAAGACTACTTCACCGTGCGTACCTTCCACGAGCTCTACCAAGCGTATGCATATAGGCGCATGGCGCAGCAAGGCTACACTATGATGGATCTCTACCAGACAACCAAGGACAGATACGACCAAGTCTTTAGAGGGGATGGCGCACACTACGTCGGCCTGTGCTTGAAGCTCCATGTGCAGATTCTAGCGAACACCCTCTGCAACCACTTGCACAAGTCATGATATACTTAAGAAGACTCGTTTTGTAGACCACTTTGCTAGGTTATATCCTTGATATCTTAGGACACTAGTCACTTTGTAACGAGTACGGCAATGCTTGGTCACCTCCAGCAGCATTTGGCGGATTTCTTGATTGCTGGATTTGTCAGTTCGCCAGCAGTCAATGAGGGTTTTCCACAAAACGACAGCTCGCGAAAGACCAAGGTCTGAAACACCCCCCTGTCATCCTTCCCCGCTGTCGAAATTCCACAATTCGCCACACCTGGATAACTATGGCTCATGTAACATTTATTGATCGCTGAACGCATCGTTAAAATTCGCACAATCCCCGTCCCGCCTTTCTTGCTCCTCCCCTCCTCCATGTCCCTCGCAAGGGTCTCCTTCGGGCTTCACTGAAATACCATTTGGGGAGTTCGCTGGTCCTGATACAGCATAGACAGAACAGGACCTCCATATTGCCTAGCATGATTGCTAACTCCATGGCTCTTGCTGATTCTTGTTACTGTAGATCTCTTGCTTCTTGGTACATATTCCGCTTTTTCGTATGAAGGATTTTTTAGCTATGCTGCATACGTCGGGACCAGCATTACGCTTCTGCTGACGCACGTTACGGCGGCAAGCATACTGAAGTGCGACATTACGCCGTTCATTGGCGAGTCGCTAATGGCGCTTCTTTGAATTTCCAGTTTAGCAGACCCCTACTAGAACCAGCGTGCTAGCGACAGCTAACTAACTCGGATAAATACATCAAACGAGTGGTTGCTAGCCATGTCAGTACTCCTCCGGAAACGAGCGAAGCTGAGCTGAGCGTGCCCTCCGTCACCGTAACGCAATCGCTGAAAGTCCGCCACAGAAAATGGTACGCATTCGACGCGTTTGGCTCGCTGCATTTTCAATCAACCCTTTCCAGATTACCATTTCTCTTTCTTTGGTGGCGTGTTTACCTTCACAGTTTACCATTTCCAGCACGCTGTACTCCCACAGCTTATCTTTTCATCTCTTCTATCCTTCAAAGATTTTCCCGTTCCCGTTTCATCTCTATCTGTTACGCACCTTCCCGCATCCTACTCCCCTGTTCACCCGCCTTTATTCCCCGTAGGCGGACTCTCCTCTTGAGTCGACTCAAAAGCACCTTCCCGCATCCTACTCCCCTGTTCACCCTCCTTTATTCCCCGTAGGCGGACTCTCCTCCCCGAGATGCCATGGATAGGCATAGCAGCAGCAGTGCGAGCAGCGACAATGCTGGTCGTAAACAACGCAAGGAACGGAAGCACCATAAAGAGAAGCACCATAAAGAGGACAAAGGGGAGGGAGCGGAAGACACAGAGAAGAGAGTGGAAGAAGGCAACGGGAACCTGGAGGACGAGCAGCATTCACACAGGGAGGACGAGAAGGAAAAGAAAGAGAAGAGGGACAAGAAGGAGAAGGAAAAGAAGGAGAAGAGGGACAAGGGGGAAAAAGGGGATCATAAAGAGAGGAAAGAGAGGAAGGAAAAGAAGGAGCTAAGAAAGGCAATGACGCCCAGAGCAGGAGATTTGTCTAGTCACAGAGGGGGGTTTGAGGCTCCTAGTGGGGAGCTGCGGAGGACCAGGAGTGGGGAGTCGCACTTAGACAGGGTGAAAGAGGAGGAGGAGTGGAGGAGGGAGGGGGAGGGAGTTGAGCGAGCAGATGGGAGGACAGGGAGAGAAAATGGAGGGATGGAGGTGACGAATGCTATGGGGGCTGTTGCGACAGGCATTGGAGGAGAGAGTAGGGAGATGGGGGATGCCACAGGTGCAGCAGTGGCAGCAGTTCCGGTGAGTGGGGCGAGTGGGGCGAGTGGGGAAGACGCCACCAAAGAAAGAGAAGGCTCGGGTTTGGATTCCAGCCATGCGAAGGGCTTGCCTGTTGGTGACTCGAAAAATCATCACGTGGAAGGTTCCAAAAAGGTGGTTGATCCCGAAGACCTTCTTGCTCTTCAGGAGAGGTACAAGGCTGACCTGGAGGTGAAAGAGGCGAGAATACGCGAGCTCGAGCAGGCGCAAGTAGCCCTGGAGGGAGAGAGAGCGGGACTGGAGGAGGAGAAACGGCGAGGGGAGGAGGAGAAGCAGCAGCTGCAGCATCAGACGCGGCAGCTGGAAGAGGAGAAGGCAAGACTGGAAGCAGAGAAGGAGCAACTGGAAGCAGAGAAGGAGCAACTGGAAAGCGCGAAATCGAGATTGGAAGAGGAGTGGCAGCAGTTGCAGGGGGAGAAGCAGCAGCTGGAGGGAGAAAAGAGCGAACTGGAGGCAGAAAGAAGTCAACTGGAGGAGGAGGTGGAGTATTTATCCCAGGAGCTGGAGAGCGAGCAGGAGATAGCCGCGGAAGCAGCTGAGATGGTGCAGCGGGAGTGGGCGGCGCGGCAGGAGGCGCTGCGCCAGCTGGCAGAGGTGGAGCGCCAGCTGGCGATGGAGGCACGCGAGGCTGACGTTGCAGCCGCTGCCGCCCATGCTGCTGCTGCTGCGGCAGCGGTGGCGGCTAGTGCTGGTGCTGCTGATTCCGGTGCTGCTGATGCTGGTGTTGCTGGTGCTGGTGTTGCTGGTGCTGGTGCTGGTGTTGCTGGTGCTGGTGCTGGTGCTAATGTAGTGCAAGGAGAAGAAGCAGCAGGCGGAGCATCTGACGGAGAGTCCGTTATCCTGAACGGATCGTTGGACGCTGATGATGCTGCCCGTCTGGCCCATTCCATTCGGTCACCTTCGTTTGGAGCACTGGAAGGGGAGCAGACGCCCTCGTTTGAAGCACAGGCCACTGGAGCTGGCGTCGCAGCTGAAAGGGGTGCTGCAGCAAGCACCAGCGGCGTGGGAGGGGTAACTGACCCCTCGGGCTATGCGTCAGACTTTTCAGGCTTTGACTTGAAGCTTCCTGCCTCCCCAGATGAGATCATGCAGCCTCGGCTAACCCCCTCCCCCTCCACTTCTCAACTTCCACCGCACTCGACCGCTCACACAGCCCCTAAGCCAACACCGCACTTGACCGCTTTTTCAACCTCTAAGTCGTTCTCTGCAGCTGCTTATGCAGACCGTGCCCAGAACTCCAGTTCTCACCAACCCAGTCGCACAGGCTCGGCAGCTCCAAAGCTGGACATGCTGGCTCGGATCCGATCCGCCACGTTCGTCCTCCGGAACAGCAGCAGCCGCGGAAACACTCCGGCTGGCAACACTCCAAGCACCTCCCCCAGGGCCAAAATTGAACCTTCCATGATGGTTCCTTCCACGTCCATAGGGACTCAAGAAGGGGGAGACACGGAGGAGCTGCCGATATGGCTGCTGCTGCAGCAGCACCGCCAGCAGCAGCAATTGTTGGCAGCTGCATCAGCAGCCGATTCAACAGCTGGGGCTGCTGTCGCTGCTGCTGCCGCCCAAATCGCCGGAGCGGATCCTGATGCGGATGCGGATGACACATCTCATCCCCTGGTTCACCCCCTGGAGAAGGGGAGGGAAACAGGGACTCGGTGCAAGTCCCCTCACCGCAGACAGGTTGGTCGATCACCCATGGGCCGGCAGCAAGCGAGTGGCATCACAGCAGTATCAGCAGTATCAGCAGTATCAGCAGTATCCACAGCAAGGTCGGCCGCCCATGGCACTCGCACCCCCTTGCGCCGGCGCTGCCTCACCGGTATCACCTCGTCCTCCCTGCCGCCCTCCCTCTCTCCATTCGCCACTGCCGCCTCCCCTCTCTCCTCCTTGCCCACTGAGGGCTTGCGTGTTGGAGCAGCACAGGGACAAGGTATCGCAGCGGAAGAGGCTCAGCTGTCGCTGTGGCAGAGGGCGCATGGCACTGGCTTCGTGCATGTGCTGCTGCAGCTGTCGCTGCACAGGGTGAACCGGCTCGAGGACCACCTGGGGAGAGCAGAGGCAGCAGCGGCAGCAGCAGCAGCAGCAGCTGGTTCTGGTGCTTGTGGTGGTGGTTCCGCTGCTGCCTCTGCAGGCCCTGGCTTGTTCTCCAGCCTCTCTTTCAGCCGATTGTTCCTGCCGGTTGCAGCCACAGCCGCAGCAACAGCAGCTGCCACAGCCACAGGAACAGCCGCAGCTGCTGCCTCAGGTGCAGGTGCAGGTGCAGGTGCAGGTTCAGGTGCAGGTGCAGCCAACAGTTCGTTTGAAAAACAAGCAGCTGGTTCCAATATCACTTCACAAGGTGTGGCCAGCACCGAGCTCTTGAGATTTGGCACTGGAAGCAACAGCAGAAGCAGTGGCAGCAGCAATGGCAACAACACCAGTGGCGGTGGCAGCAGCAGCACCAGTGGCGGCAGCACCAGTGGCAGCAGCAGCAGCATCGCTGCTCTAGCACTTTCTCTCAGCTCTCGCTTCTCCTTTTCTCATCGGGCGGACGAAGGCAAGCAGAAGCCCAGCAGTGAAGGCCCAGGCAGGCTCGTGAGCGAAGCTCGGCTGGAGGCTCGGCAAGAGACTTGGCAAGTTGCTCGGAAGGAGGCTCGGGAGCGCGGAGTGGAGCTGTACGTGCTACAGCTACAGGCGGAGGCTCTTAAGGCTACAGCCGGTGTGCTTTGGGCCGAAGCTAGTGTGGAGGAGAGGACTCTGCAAAAACTAAGGCTGGAGAAAGCAGATGTAGCAGAAAGGATGGGGGGGATAGAGGCCACGCTTGGTGTAGTGACAGGGGAAATGGAGGCTCTTGAGGGGAGTGGGGGAGGATGGGAGAGAGGGGAGGGGATGGGGGGGGAGGCAGGGCGAGTGAGTGAGGGTGAAAGGGAAGGTGGGGGTGGGATGGGCTTGGAGATTGGGGGAGCAGCAGAGAATTCAGACGGCGTGGTTAAGACAGGCGGGGAAGTAGAGGAGGAGGATGGGGTGAAGTCTTCTCCAGACGTGGTAACTGCCCATGGTGCGGATGCCTCAAGATATGGCGGCAGCAAAGGGGAGGAGACGAGTGGGGAGAAAGGGGAGCAGAAGCACTCACTGCCGGTTGACCAGAAGCACTCACAGCCGGCTGACCAGAAGCACTCACAGCCGGCTGACCAGAAGGTCTCACAGCCGGCTGACCAGAAGGTCTCACTGCCGGCTGACCAGAAGGTCTCACTGCCGGCTGACCAGAAGGTCTCACTGCCGGCTGACCAGAAGGTCTCACTGCCGGCTGACCAGAGGGTCTCACAGCCGGCTGATCAGAAGCACTCACTGCAGAAGTCCCGAGATCGTCTCCTGAAGGCCTTATCGGATGCAAGGAAGCAAGTCAAAGTGCTGGACCAGGTGAGTCAACGCTGGTCAAAGGCTGGACCAGGTGGACAACACTGCTCAAAGGCTGGACCAGGTGAATCAACGATGGTCAAGTGTTGGACGAGGTGAGCCGACACTTCATTCTGCCTGCCCCTTCCCCTTCCAGCTCATCACTTCGCCTTCTGTCCATGTTCTGCTCAAACCCCTCTTTTGTCTTTTCTACCACTTCTCCTAAACAGGCCATTCTTGCCAGCTGCCATGCGCTACAGGGCAAAGAACAGGAGAGAGACATGGTGCTCCGGCGCTTGAGCGATGCTGAGACAAAACTTGCCACCCTGAAGTTAATGGAAAGTACTGCCACCGACTCTGTTCCAGTGAGTCAGAGTGAGTGTTACAACCTTGTATTGCTTTGGACTGCTGTTGGTGGAGCTGTTTCCTTGTTGCATTACATTGTTCTGCTCATCAAATTCAATCACTTGCTTCCCACTTCTCCCATTTTTATTCAGAGATGTTGGAGCGTTTTCTCCTCGTTGGCCCCTTTCTTAGCAACCATGCTGCCAGAGGTCCTCGACTTCTCACCTCCTCAACCGCGTACAGCTCAACCCCTTCCTAGCTAACTCCTGACTTCATATAGTTCTGAAACGCATGATGCAGTTTTTATTATACATTATATGGTGATTTGGTGGTCGATTTTCACTAGTAGGCTGAACCAGCATGCAATTATTACGAGTTCCTAGCTCCTATTGTATCGCATATCTTTTTTGTGCAGTTGAAACCCGTGTCCTCCTCCCCTTCGGAGATGCATCTCCCATGACTCGTCGACGCCACCTGGACGTTCGTCCACGGTGGATCCACGTCCGCAGGGATCAGAGTGCGTGCACCATTTCTCTCACAATTTTCATTTCGCCTGCCCGTTTCGACATGGTTTCGCTTTCCGGTACAAGAGGCTAGTGAGCAGGGCCTTCATTCATGTCACGTCACCTCGGTATCATTCGTGCATTTTCGTATGGGTGGGTGTTTTTCATATTGACCCGCAGAAAACAGCTTAGCTTGCTGGGCTGTCATCCTCTGGACCAGCCAGGGATCGCGCGCGAGTGCCACAGCCACCACATATTTCAGGGCTTTCGTCCACGTCAGTCGTCCTCGTCAGCCTTGGGATGAGCACTTGTGAACAAACGCCCGATTGGCTTGATTCGAAATTCAGGCCAGGACAATTCAGAATTTGGAATCAATTCAGAACTCCTCCCTTTGAAGACTTTCTATCAGACTGCGGCAGTAACATTTCAGGACGTTTTCCAATTTTTTCAGGCTGTTAGTTCATCAGGCTGCTTGTATCCTAGCCGCTTGTGCTTGTTGGGAGGGACTGTCTACCTACTAGACGCGTGCTGTGCCTTACGGATTCTCCTGACTGCACCCGTACAGCAGCTAATTAACAACCAGTCATGATGCGTAACGGGGCCCTCCGTGTTCTGGCCGCTGCCATGGCCAGGCACTCAGCAGCCTCAGCCAGCGTGCCAGCACCCTTGGGAGGAGCATCTCTGGCTCCTGCCGCCGGAACCATGCCTCAAATCCTCCACCGGGGATTTGCCGGCGATGCCAACCTGAAGCGCACTCCCCTGTACGACTTCCACGTGGCAGAAGGCGGTAAAATGGTCCCCTTCGCGGGCTACAGCATGCCGATCCAGTATAAGGACAGCATCATCGATTCCACCCTTAATTGCCGGACCAACGGTAGCCTGTTCGACGTCTCCCACATGTGCGGACTCAGCCTCAAGGGCAAGGATGTGATTCCTTTCCTCGAGACGCTGGTGGTTGGAGACATAGCGGCTCTTAAGGACGGCACTGGTACCCTGTCGGTTTTCACGAACGAGAAGGGTGGGATCATTGATGACACGGTTATCACTCGGGTTACCCCTTCGCACATCTACCTCGTCGTCAACGCCGGCTGCCGCGAGAAAGATTTGAGTGAGTGGTTTCTCTGAAACGAATCTGCATGTCTACATAATTCACCTTATCCTCGCGGTACTACTTCACTTGCCTAAAGAGGTGACACATCTACAGCTGCCTCAATTTCCCCCGTCACAGTCCAAGCAATCCCTGTTCCCAAGACTACCCATGGAGACATTGAGTAACACGGGTCAAGCTCCTGCTATCAAGACATTTATTACCGTAATCTCATCTCTTTCATTACCTCCATCTCACTCGCATTCCCTCTCCCTACCACACATTGCCATTGCAGAGCACATTGGAGCTCATTTGGAGGCGTATAAGGCGGCCGGGAAGGACGTCTCGTGGGTGATTCACGACGACCGTGCGCTGCTGGCGCTGCAGGGCCCTCTGGCGGCGCCAACGCTGCAGCCGCTCGTCGCGACGGACCTCTCCAAGATGGCCTTCAGCGATTTTACCATGCTCAAGATCGACGGCCACGACTGCTTCCTCACTCGCACGGGGTAAGCATTTTCGTTGACCGGACTGTGATAGGTTCCAGTGATGGAAATTGTATTTGAATCGCGTGCTTGCGTCGTGGCGCTTTAACGGTGCGCATTAAGGTGTAGTATCGTGAGTGACGCATACCAAATGACCCTAAAATCGTCGAGTCTCTGGATGGCCTCCGCCTAACGGTGAGGCTGATGCTAACTCACCCTATCATTGTGACGTTCCACACTCTTTCCCTTCTCCCCATTTCCAGCTACACTGGAGAGGACGGTTTCGAGATTTCCGTGCCCAATGAGAACGCGCTGGCTCTTGCCAAGAAGCTCCTCGAGGTGAGCGAGGGCAAGGTGAGGCTCACCGGCCTTGGCGCCCGCGACTCCCTCCGCCTGGAGGCCGGACTCTGCCTCTACGGCAACGATTTAACAGAGGAAATTACCCCGATTGAAGGCGCGCTGGCGTGGACAATCGGGAAGAGGCGACGGGCAGAGGGAGGGTTCCTGGGAGCTGACGTCATTCTGCAACAGCTGAAGGATGGACCTGCCAGGAGGCGAGTGGGGTTGACGTCTACTGGCGCCCCTGCTAGAAGCCATGTAGAGATTCTGGATAAGGAGGGGAATGTGGTCGGGGAGGTGACCAGTGGAGGGTTCAGTCCGTGTTTGAAGAAGAACATCGCGATGGGGTATGTGAAGAATGGGCTGCATAAGGCGGGGACGGAGCTGAAGGTGGATGTGAGGGGGAAGATGAATGACGCTGTGATTGCCAAGACGCCGTTTGTTCCCACAAAGTATTACAAGCCATGAGCAGATGCAGGGATGCTGCAGATGCTGTGGTTCGAGGTGGTGTAGGTGAGGAGCCTAGACTTGTAGGGTCTGTTATGTATGTACACGAAAGACTGCATGATTGGATTGTTTCACTTGGGGCAGTCTGAGTACTTCCTGTGACCAATAACTGAAAATGCCCTCAAGAGAATTGCGTAGTATCAATGAGTTATCCCATACCTAGGTTGGGGGAAATACGTAAGGCATGTGTCTGAGACGTGGCTCTTCTGGTAATAGTGGAACAGTACATGGTAGATATGGTGTCTATAGACACAGCATGGTTGCCGGTGGTTCATGCCTTGCTGAAATGGGGCTTTGATAGCAATGGTCGTATACTATGTGTGGAATCCCTCGAATTGTGCTATTGCAAGTATGAATGCAGACGCACAACCTAAATGTACACAACAACTCTTGGGTGTACATTGTCATTAACGAGCAGTGAGCTTTGACTGCGCTATTTTGTCAACGACGGTGTTCGCAACCATTGGCAGCTTTCCAAAGTCGTCAGACATCCAAGGAGCCGATGACTCCTCGTCCATTCATCATCATACCGCAGGGATCTGGGTCTTTCCTAAAAAATGGATGTGTCCATCCAATAAAAACTCGCGCTGACCGAAGAACATCATCTGAAAGCCTCCGAATTTATTAGGCGCGGCGCGATGTGTGGTGCGGTGCGGACAGATCTGTTCTGGCTGGAATAGCCACTGGAATCCTAGCCACACAGACAGAATCCGTTTTCATCACACTCACACGCCATCCACGCCATCCACGCCATCCACAACCCGTCTGCACAGATATGCTATCCCCTCTCATTTTCCCCTGCCCGAATCTGCATGTTAACTTGTTTACATAACTGTACTGTCTGTGCACCACGAAAACTCACCGTCCAGGTGCCCAGCATCTCTTCTCCACATTAGGGGCTGGTAGCTGCCCGAACTCTCAGCCATCACCACACCACCACCCACCAACCATCAGTCACACGACCTTGAAGCTCGCTGCCACATCACCCGCCGTCCACTTTCTTTGCGCGCCAAAAAATCAACTTCCTTCTTTTCTGATAATGAGTGCTTCAACCTCTCAACCTCCAGGTTCTGCGGAAACTCCGCACCTTCAAGAGCTGCCGCGTGGATCAAAAAACACCGCGAGCTAATTAGCACTTGGACCGCACGTCCACGTGTGACATGCGCGGCGCGGTCTAACTGCCCTCGCCCACCCAATTCCCCCTATGCTCTCCTAGAAACTGTCACTCTCACAGCACCAGATGATTGATGATTCCATTGCGCTTGCCTTTCAACTCGCACGGCTGTACAGTTCATCACTCCAGTACACTGTACACTTCACAAATGTACAGTACTGTACATTTAACAAATGTGCTGTACACTCTTACGTGACCTTCCATCCGGGTTTTGGCAAAATTCGTGCGGCTGGCAATGAAGGCCTGTGCAGCGACAGCACAGATTCTGCCTCGGCTCCACTGCACCCTGCTTCCTCAACTTGCTCTGCTCTTCTCTGCTCATCTTCGCTCCACTTGGTTGCACCTTGCTCAGCTCAGCTCACCTCATGCAGAGCTCTCCTTTGCTCTGCTCGTCTCTCCTTGTATGGTCATTTGTCCACCCCCAATGCTGAAGGAAAGGCTGATCATTCTACCATAGCAGGGACGGAGAAAGGATGATAGAGCGTGAACTACGCTTGTTCTAAGCTTCTTTACGGACGCCAATCCGCGAGCAATACTCATCTTCCTACAATTTCCTGGTTTGGATATCATCTTGCTGAATCGATTCGAGAGTCCAGACGCACACGAGTCACAACCCACGAGCCTCCGGCTTTCCTTAGCGCGATCCGTTTAATCGGTTCCCCCACTCCGCCATGGTCTCCCCAGATCCCTCATCCGATTGTGAGAATCGAAACAAGGAAAAAAACGATGGCGGATCTTCCGTTCAGAATTTCCGTATTTTCGGCGTTAGCTTAGCGCAGCCGCCCCTGAATTCCACTCCGCAGCCGGCAGGGCCTGTCGAGTTTACGCCGTCGATTCCGCTCCGCACGTCCTCCCCCGCGGAAGGCATGCGCAAGTGCGCAAGTACGAGCGCACTGGCGGATCTTAGCCGCCGCCGCAATCTGGCCTCCGCAGGCGCAGGCGCGCGGATGCGCTCCCCCCTGTTCCGCCCGGTCGTGGGGAGCGTCGGGAACAGCATGGATGAGGACAGCGCGGCGGACGATGATGCAGACGTGGAGGAAGCGGGGGAAGCGGGGGAAGCGGAGGAGGAGGGGGAAGAGGAGAGGAAAGCGGGGCGGGAAGTCCGTGCTCCCCGCGGGAGCGCGCCGCAGCGGCCGCCAGCAGATCCGGAGTCATCCGCCGGCAGCGGCGGCGGCGGAAACGGCGGCGCAAGGGAACGGAGAGAACCGGGCGGAGGAGACGGGGAAGGAGCGCGACAGGCGGTGGCAGCGGCGCGCAGTGAGGGCTCGAATTGCACGCCGCAACCCGCGGGAAGTGAAGTCGCGAACGCGCCGATGGGCGGGCGGGGGTCCGGGGTGGGCGGACGAGGAGACGGAGGAGGAGGCGGAGGGGGGCACATGGGCGGAACGGCGTCGTCCAGGGAGCGCAAGAAGGGGATTGCGTGGACGGAGGAGGAGCATCGGCTGTTTCTGATTGGTCTGAGCAAGCTGGGGAAGGGCGACTGGCGCGGGATCTCACGGAACTATGTGACCACGCGCACGCCGACGCAGGTCGCGAGCCACGCGCAGAAGTACTTCATCCGCCAGGGGAACCTGAACAAGCGGAAGCGGCGGTCGAGCTTGTTCGATATAAGCACAGACGTGGTACGTGATTTGCGTGATTTAGTGTGTGGTCACCCATCCTAAGCGAATTCTTCCTCGTCACTTCTCCCGTCGCTCACCTCCCCCCCTCTTCTCCATGCGCCGTTTCCCCCCTCCCCCCCCCGCAGTTGGCGGAGGAAGCAGCAGCGACGACCATAATGTCTCGATCCATGAGCACGCCGTCTCTGCCGTCGCTCATCTCTCCCGCTCCCCTCTCTGCGTCACTTCCCCCCTCCCATCCCGCAGCTAGCGGAAGAGGCGGCGGCGACGACCATCATGTCGCGATCCATGAGCACGCCGTCTCTCCCGTCGCTCCGCGACGACCCCAAGCTGCTCCCCTCCGGAATCTCCGCCGGACTCACCGCCGTCTCTTCCGCCGCCGCCATCTCCGCGCTTTCGCCCTCCGCCTCCGCGCTTGCCTCCCCGCAAGCGCTCTCCCGCCACGCGCTCCATCAGGCGCTTCCGCACGCGCGCGCGTTCTCCCGCCCGTATCAGCTCCCCAACACCGCGCAGACCCTCCCCCCGCCCTCCTACACCGCGCACTCCTCCGCTTCCGCGCATCCTTTCGCCCCTCCCGCTTCCGCGCACGGTTTTCTCGATCTAAGCCGCTGCCAGTCATATCCCGCCGTCCACATGCTCGAGTGCGGAAGCCCTTACGACAATTCCGCCGCTTCCGCCGCCGCCACCGCCGCCGCCGCCGCCGCCGCCGCCGCCCGCGGCGGCGCACTTTCCGCCGCATTGATGCCCCTCACGCGTCCGATGTCGCTGCCGTCCCTTCACCCGGCCTCCATCCCGGAAACTTCCGCCATTCCCCCGGTCGATCTAGGCCCCGCGCATTTCCTCCCCTCCCCGCATGGCTTCTCCGCGCATCCGCAATCCCAGCCCCCCCAGTGGCACCTGCTCTCCGCTTCTTCCGCCAATGCCTCCGCTGCCGCCGCCAACTCTGCTGCGCGCGGACCTATGGCGCTTGACCACCGGTCAATGGGCGCCGGGGGCGCTGTTGGTGCGGGGAGTTCCGCCGCCTCCGCCGCTGCCGTTGCCGCCATGAATCGCGCGCGGGATCAGAGCATGGCCGCGCTAGGGGCGGGACACGCGGGCGCAGGGCTCGGCGCGCTTGCAGACGCAGCAGCAGCGCGGCACAGAATTGGGCATGAGATGATGATGCAGATGGGGCACGAAGCAACGGTTCAGATCGGACACGAGCTGGCGCAACGGATGGCCAGGATGAGCCAGGCGGCTGAGCGGGCAGGGGCGGAGGGGGCCAGTCCGATGCTGCTAGGGGGGAGCAGCAACGTGGAGAAGAGAACGAAGCTGGAGAGTGGCATAGGGTTTCCTAGTGCTGGTGCGGCAGGCGGGGGTAGTGGTGCTGCTGCTGCGGCGGCAGCCGCGGCTGCAGCAGCTTGTGGGGGCTCTGCTTTCTCCCCCTTCCGGTCAGGAATGCCTGCTCCTGGTGCTGCTGTTGCGGCTGCTGCTGGTGCTGCTGGAGCTGGTGGTGGTGCCACCGCAGCAGCATACCTATCCACTTCTCCCCCGTCTACCTACCCATATGGTCCCCTCTCGTCCTCTCCCCCCGCCGGGTACCCCTCCAGCTATCCCTACTCCTCGTTCCTTTGGCCTAGAAGCACGTCGCACTTCCCATCGGCTGCTTCCGCTGCTGTCGCGGCAGCAGCAGCTGCTGCACAGCAATCCGCCTTCTCTACTGCTTCTCCTGGTGGTGCTGGTGGTGGTGGTTCTGGTCCTGCTGCTGCTGCCAGCACTTGGCATTTGTCAGGAGGTCAGTTAACACCTGGTCAGATTAACCTGCCCCAGGGGCAGCCGAGACTCACAGTTCCTGCAGCCTCTGCCACAACTGCTGTTGCTGCTGCCTCTTCTGGTGCCCCTGATGCTGCTGCTGGTAGTTTTCCATTGGCCACTGCAGCTGGTGAGGGTAATCTGGCTGCTGCTGCTGGAGTTGTGGCTGTATCTGGTACTCGCACAGTCCCCACCACTACACTGCAGCTTTTTGACACCAGTCCCAATGATTTGGCTCATGAGGTGAAGCGGCCTGCAGCAGTGGCAGCAGCAGCAGCAGCAGCAACGGTCGCTGTGACGGCAGCGGCTCGACTTGCTGCCTCTGCTTCGCCTGAACCCACCAGTGATGTCAAGGCACCTATTAGTGTGCAATGATAGGCTGCTGTGTCAAAAATTGACATCAGTCTGGTTAAGACAGCTGAACAAGTCATATACGTGTGATTTGTGCAACTTGTGTTATGTGTGCGTGGAATTGTCAACTGCTAGTCATAATTCAGCCGATTTTATAGTATGGCTGTTATTTGCGTTGTACACAATGTTTAACATAAGGCTGAAATGTACTTGAAATCAGCAGCTTACGTTTTCCAAATTTCCCCATTTCGCCAAGAGTTACTGCTTCCAATGATGGGGCAGTCTGTAGCGAATTTTGAAGTTTTGAAGTTTGAGTTTGAAGTTTGAGTTCTCCCCTGAGTTTTGAAGTTTGCCACCAAGAATTCGGCTGACACCCTTCCCCCAAGCTTATCACCAACCTCGAGAGGAAAACAGCTGTTCGTTGAGCATGGAGAGCACGTCGTTCCTAAGGGGACCCAAGTTTGCGCCATGAAGATGCCATGAGAAACTTGAGTGGCCCTCATTGTTGCGAACCGGGACACGTGGTCCACACATTAGAGATTCCCACGTGTGGTAGTCCCCAACCTTGAAAGTGGGTGTACTTTGTCCCCAAGCTCGGCGACTTTCTCTGCCGCAGAAGGTGCGATGCGGAACTTGAGTGGTCCACAGTTGACTGACCCACAATGGATGGTCCCAGGCCTTTTTGGTCCCACCGTCAGCCAATAAGAGTGTAGATCCACGTTGTTAGATACTTTCGCTCAGTCCCAACGTTCTCCTCGTTCCGGCGCGTATCTCGAAACTTTTCTAGAACACTCCCCCTTCCACTTCCTCCTCCCCCCCCCTCCCTCAGCAGGCCTCTGGTGGCTACGGGTGGGGTGAATCCGCACCAAATCAGCAGCCCTGCTGGGTGCATTCGGAGAGTATTCGGGATGGGAGCCGCCTGCAATGTCCAGCTAAGTACTCGCTCCTCCCTAAGCCCGACCTTCCATTTTGCAGTTGTGCAACATTCTCCTTGCATTCAAACCCCCACCCCTGGCCGTGGCTCTGTCTATGGAACACAGACCACCCACTCAGGTATCACCCCAGGTATCAGGTATCAGGTATCAGGTATCAGGTACTCCCCTCATGTACTCCCTCCTTCAACCCTAGAGACTTGACTAGCGCCCCTTCCTTCATCCACGGTCTGTGTTCTATAGCTGCTGGTGCGCCAGGGGTGAATCTTCCCTTCTCTTCTTTTGAAACTCGTTTCTTTCACATCCTGCTGACCACCTCCCCTCTCCCTGCCCCTTATCTCCCCCCTGCATGCCTCCTCCACCACCCTAGCAGGCCTCTGTGCGGACGGCAGGGGTGAGTGCAGTCAAGCACGCCTTGCTGTTTGGACGCCATCAGGGGAGGGGAGGATGACAGGTGTGAATACGCACCAACCCAGCAGCCCTGCTGGGCGCACTGGGAGAGCATCTGGGATGGGTGCAACCAACAATTTCCAGCTAAGTACTCGCTCCTTCGTAAGCCTTACCCTGCAAATTGCGTTTGTGCAGTGTTCTTCTTGCTTTTAAAACCTCATCCCTGGTCGTAGTAGATCACTCTGTAGAACACAGACCAATCCTCTCAGGTCAACCCCCCAGGTAAATTGCTGAGGTAATCCCCTCAGGTCAACCCCCCAGGTAAATTGCTGAGGTAATCCCCTCAGGTCAACCCCCCAGGTAAATTGCTGAGGTAATCCCCTCAGGTCAACCCCCCAGGTAAATTGCTGAGGTAATCCCCTCAGGTCAACCCCCCAGGTAAATTGCTGAGGTAATCCCCTCAGGTCAACCCCCCAGGTAAATTGCTGAGGTAATCCCCTCAGGTCAACCCCCCAGGTAAATTGCTGAGGTAATCCCCTCAGGTCAACCCCCCAGGTAAATTGCTGAGGTAATCCCCTCAGGTCAACCCCCCAGGTAAATTGCTGAGGTAATCCCCTCAGGTCAACCCCCCAGGTAAATTGCTGAGGTAATCCCCTCAGGTCAACCCCCCAGGTAAATTGCTGAGGTAATCCCCTCAGGTCAACCCCCCAGGTAAATTGCTGAGGTAATCCCCTCAGGTCAACCCCCCAGGTAAATTGCTGAGGTAATCCCCTCAGGTCAACCCCCCAGGTAAATTGCTGAGGTAATCCCCTCAGGTCAACCCCCCAGGTAAATTGCTGAGGTAATCCCCTCAGGTCAACCCCCCAGGTAAATTGCTGAGGTAATCCCCTCAGGTCAACCCCCCAGGTAAATTGCTGAGGTAATCCCCTCAGGTCAACCCCCCAGGTAAATTGCTGAGGTAATCCCCTCAGGTCAACCCCCCAGGTAAATTGCTGAGGTAATCCCCTCAGGTCAACCCCCCAGGTAAATTGCTGAGGTAATCCCCTCAGGTCAACCCCCCAGGTAAATTGCTGAGGTAATCCCCTCAGGTCAACCCCCCAGGTAAATTGCTGAGGTAATCCCCTCAGGTCAACCCCCCAGGTAAATTGCTGAGGTAATCCCCTCAGGTCAACCCCCCAGGTAAATTGCTGAGGTAATCCCCTCAGGTCAACCCCCCAGGTAAATTGCTGAGGTAATCCCCTCAGGTACAACCTCCCTTCAGCACTAGAGAATTGACCAGCGCCCCCTCCTTTGCCCATGGTCTGCATTCTATGGCTGCTGGTACACCAGGGGTGAATCTCCCCGTCTCTTCTTTTCAGTAATCGCGCCTTCTCTTTCACATCCTTTGACAACCTCCCCTCTCCCGTCAACTTATTTCCTCTCCACTGCCTCCGCCCCTCCCCCAGCAGGGCCTCTGATGGGGGTGGGTGGGTGACTCTGCACCGCCCAGAGTATCTGGGATGGGTGCCACCGACCATTTCCAGCTAAGTTATCGTGCCTCCCTAAACTTGACCTGTCATTTCGTGTTTGTTCTGGTTTTCCTTTCTCTCAAACCCTCACCCCTGGCCGTGGCTCAGTCTATGGAACACAGACCATCCACTCAAGTAATTCCCCCGGTCAGGGGGAATTACCTCAGGTCAGGCCTACCTTCAGGCCTACCCCTCAGGTCAGGCCTACCTTCAGACCTACCCCTCAGGTCAAGCCTATCTTCAATTCAGCCCTAGAGACTTGACGAGCATCTCTTCCTTCATCCATGGTCTGTGTTCTACAGCTGCTGCTGCTAAGCCAGGGGTGAAATTTCCTCTTCTCGGCTTCTCAGTGAAGATTTTTTTGTCACATCCCATCCACCGACCTCGCTTCTCTGTGCAGCTAATCGCCCTTCTCTCTGCCTCTTCCCCCCCAAGCAGGCCCCTGTGCCGTGCGGATGGCTCTGTGGGCGGATGGGTGGGGAGCGAACCTCCCTGGGGGGCATCTAGCTGCCGCAGTCAAGCCCTCCTGTTGGAAACGCCCCTGCTGGCTGAACAGGGAGAGTATCAGGGATGGGTTTTTTAGGCGCCTCAAAAATCGTCTGAACAGGGAGAGTATCAGGGATGGGTTTTTGAGGCGCCTCAAAAATCGTCTGAACAGGGAGAGTATCAGGGATGGGTTTTTTAGGCGCCTCAAAAATCGTCTGAACAGGGAGAGTATCAGGGATGGGTTTTTGAGGCGCCTCAAAAATCGTCTGAACAGGGAGAGTATCAGGGATGGGTTTTTGAGGCGCCTCAAAAATCGTCTGAACAGGGAGAGTATCAGGGATGGGTTTTTTAGGCGCCTCAAAAATCGTCTGAACAGGGAGAGTATCAGGGATGGGTTTTTTAGGCGCCTCAAAAATCGTCTGAACAGGGAGAGTATCAGGGATGGGTTTTTTAGGCGCCTCAAAAATCGTCTGAACAGGGAGAGTATCAGGGATGGGTTTTTTAGGCGCCTCAAAAATCGTCTGAACAGGGAGAGTATCAGGGATGGGTTTTTTAGGCGCCTCAAAAATCGTCTGAACAGGGAGAGTATCAGGGATGGGTTTTTTAGGCGCCTCAAAAATCGTCTGAACAGGGAGAGTATCAGGGATGGGTTTTTTAGGCGCCTCAAAAATCGTCTGAACAGGGAGAGTATCAGGGATGGGTGCTGCCACAGCAGGTAAGCCTCTCGCTCTCCTGCCTTACACTCCCTTGCCTCTGGTCCTTCACTGCTTCTGCTGCTTTGCTTTGCTCTGCTTCTTCCATGTCTGTTGGCTGTCTTGCCACTGTACTCACTTGTGTCCTCCTCTCTTCCCTCCCCTCCCCTCTTCCCTTGCAGCTCTAAGACTCATGTAACGGGTCAGGACGGAAGGAGGGTGGGGTGCAAGCCCTAAGATCAGCACTTGGCAAGGAAAGGAGTGGAAAGGAGAGGGGACGAGTGGGAAGGAGCGCGGGACAGGCCCTTGGAGCTGCTGCTGCATTGCAACCAGCTGAGTATTTCGTGCGCTTTGCTCCTCACCTTGCTCCTCACCTTGCTCCTTCCTTGCTCTTTACGCCTCATCATTTCAGTCACACTTCAGTGCACAGCACCGCACCATTCAATGTGTCTTGCTCGTCGCCCTCCTAAACCCTCACCCCTGGTCGAAGCTCAGTCTATGGAACACAGACCAGCCTCCAGGTGACCCCCTCAGGTGACCCCATCAGGTGACCCCGTCAGGTAAAACCCTCAGGTAACCCTTAGAGTCTATACCAGAGCCCTTCATGGTCTGTGTTCTCTAGCTGCAGCTACACCAGGGGTGATCCCCTCATGCTTCCCTTCCCCTTGCCATGCATCAGTTGTTCTCATCCCACTTGCTGCCATCTCTCACCATGGACCTAATCGCTCCACCCCCCCACCCCCCCCCGCCCCCCCTGGCAGTGTCGTTGGCATCACCTGGAATATTGCAGCAGCAGCAGGGGCTAGATAGTTAGCAGGCAGGCTCGTTAAAACGAGCGAGGTGTGGTACGGGGTACGGTACGGTATGGCATAGGCAGGTCATCTCATACCTCTCCTCCATGCATCCCTTCCTTCAGGCCGCATCTGGAAGGAGGTCGCAGGACGGAGCCCTCCCTCTCAAACCCCACTCTCTCCCCTCCTCTCCCCCCTCCTCTTTTTTCCCCACCCGGCAGCATCATCCCTGGTTGTCAACAGAGCGAGGTCAGCAGGAAGGAGGTCATCCTCTCAACCCCAAACCCCCCTCCCCCCTCACCCACTCTCACCACCATCACTACCACCACCACCACCCGCCCCCACCCCCACCATCCCCTTCCCCCCAGCAGTGTCATCCTTGGTTTTGCTCTGAGGAGCTGAGGTAAGTGAGGTAAGTGAGGTAAGTGAGGTAAGTGAGGTAAGTGAGGTAAGTGAGGTAAGTGATGTAAGTGAGGTAAGTGAGGTAAGTGATGTAAGTGAGGTAAGTGAGGTAAGTGAGGTAAGTGAGGTAAGTGAGGTAAGTGAGGTAAGTGAGGTAAGTGAGGTAAGTGAGGTAAGTGATGTAAGTGAGGTAAGTGAGGTAAGTGAGGTAAGTGAGGTAAGTGATGTAAGTGAGGTAAGTGATGTAAGTGAGGTAAGTGATGTAAGTGAGGTAAGTGATGTAAGTGAGGTAAGTGAGGTAAGTGAGGTAAGTGAGGTAAGTGAGGTAAGTGAGGTAAGTGAGGTAAGTGAGGTAAGTGAGGTAAGTGAGGTAAGTGAGGTAAGTGAGGTAAGTGAGGTAAGTGAGGTAAGTGAGGTAAGTGAGGTAAGTGAGGTAAGTGAGGTAAGTGAGGTAAGTGAGGTAAGTGATGTAAGTGAGGTAAGTGAGGTAAGTGATGTAAGTGAGGTAAGTGAGGTAAGTGAGGTAAGTGAGGTAAGTGAGGTAAGTGAGGTAAGTGAGGTAAGTGAGGTAAGTGAGGTAAGTGAGGTAAGTGAGGTAAGTGAGGTAAGTGAGGTAAGTGAGGTAAGTGATGTAAGTGAGGTAAGTGATGTAAGTGAGGTAAGTGATGTAAGTGAGGTAAGTGATGTAAGTGAGGTAAGTGAGGTAAGTGAGGTAAGTGAGGTAAGTGAGGTAAGTGAGGTAAGTGAGGTAAGTGAGGTAAGTGAGGTAAGTGAGGTAAGTGAGGTAAGTGAGGTAAGTGAGGTAAGTGAGGTAAGTGAGGTAAGTGAGGTAAGTGAGGTAAGTGAGGTAAGTGAGGTAAGTGAGGTAAGTGAGGTAAGTGAGGTAAGTGAGGTAAGTGAGGTAAGTGAGGTAAGTGAGGTAAGTGAGGTAAGTGAGGTAAGTGAGGTAAGTGAGGTAAGTGATGTAAGTGAGGTAAGTGAGGTAAGTGAGGTAAGTGAGGTAAGTGAGGTAAGTGAGGTAAGTGAGGTAAGTGAGGTAAGTGAGGTAAGTGAGGTAAGTGAGGTAAGTGAGGTAAGTGAGGTAAGTGAGGTAAGTGAGGTAAGTGAGGTAAGTGAGGTAAGTGATGTAAGTGAGGTAAGTGAGGTAAGTGATGTAAGTGAGGTAAGTGAGGTAAGTGAGGTAAGTGAGGTAAGTGAGGTAAGTGAGGTAAGTGAGGTAAGTGAGGTAAGTGAGGTAAGTGATGTAAGTGAGGTAAGTGAGGTAAGTGAGGTAAGTGAGGTAAGTGATGTAAGTGAGGTAAGTGATGTAAGTGAGGTAAGTGATGTAAGTGAGGTAAGTGATGTAAGTGAGGTAAGTGAGGTAAGTGAGGTAAGTGAGGTAAGTGAGGTAAGTGAGGTAAGTGAGGTAAGTGAGGTAAGTGAGGTAAGTGAGGTAAGTGAGGTAAGTGAGGTAAGTGATGTAAGTGAGGTAAGTGAGGTAAGTGATGTAAGTGAGGTAAGTGAGGTAAGTGAGGTAAGTGAGGTAAGTGAGGTAAGTGAGGTAAGTGAGGTAAGTGAGGTAAGTGAGGTAAGTGAGGTAAGTGAGGTAAGTGAGGTAAGTGAGGTAAGTGAGGTAAGTGATGTAAGTGAGGTAAGTGAGGTAAGTGAGGTAAGTGAGTAAGTGAGGTAAGTGAGGTAAGTGAGGTAAGTGATGTAAGTGAGGTAAGTGATGTAAGTGAGGTAAGTGAGGTAAGTGAGGTAAGTGATGTAAGTGAGGTAAGTGAGGTAAGTGAGGTAAGTGATGTAAGTGAGGTAAGTGATGTAAGTGAGGTAAGTGAGGTAAGTGAGGTAAGTGAGGTAAGTGATGTAAGTGAGGTAAGTGATGTAAGTGAGGTAAGTGATGTAAGTGAGGTAAGTGAGGTAAGTGAGGTAAGTGAGGTAAGTGAGGTAAGTGAGGTAAGTGAGGTAAGTGAGGTAAGTGAGGTAAGTGATGTAAGTGAGGTAAGTGAGGTAAGTGAGGTAAGTGAGGTAAGTGAGGTAAGTGAGGTAAGTGAGGTAAGTGAGGTAAGTGAGGTAAGTGAGGTAAGTGAGGTAAGTGAGGTAAGTGAGGTAAGTGAGGTAAGTGAGGTAAGTGAGGTAAGTGAGGTAAGTGAGGTAAGTGAGGTAAGTGAGGTAAGTGATGTAAGTGAGGTAAGTGAGGTAAGTGAGGTAAGTGAGGTAAGTGAGGTAAGTGAGGTAAGTGAGGTAAGTGAGGTAAGTGAGGTAAGTGAGGTAAGTGAGGTAAGTGATGTAAGTGAGGTAAGTGAGGTAAGTGATGTAAGTGAGGTAAGTGAGGTAAGTGAGGTAAGTGAGGTAAGTGAGGTAAGTGAGGTAAGTGAGGTAAGTGAGGTAAGTGAGGTAAGTGATGTAAGTGAGGTAAGTGAGGTAAGTGAGGTAAGTGAGGTAAGTGAGGTAAGTGAGGTAAGTGATGTAAGTGAGGTAAGTGAGGTAAGTGAGGTAAGTGATGTAAGTGAGGTAAGTGAGGTAAGTGAGGTAAGTGATGTAAGTGAGGTAAGTGATGTAAGTGAGGTAAGTGAGGTAAGTGAGGTAAGTGATGTAAGTGAGGTAAGTGAGGTAAGTGAGGTAAGTGATGTAAGTGAGGTAAGTGATGTAAGTGAGGTAAGTGAGGTAAGTGAGGTAAGTGAGGTAAGTGATGTAAGTGAGGTAAGTGATGTAAGTGAGGTAAGTGATGTAAGTGAGGTAAGTGATGTAAGTGAGGTAAGTGAGGTAAGTGAGGTAAGTGAGGTAAGTGATGTAAGTGAGGTAAGTGAGGTAAGTGATGTAAGTGAGGTAAGTGAGGTAAGTGAGGTAAGTGAGGTAAGTGAGGTAAGTGAGGTAAGTGATGTAAGTGAGGTAAGTGAGGTAAGTGATGGTAAGTGAGGTAAGTGAGGTAAGTGAGGTAAGTGAGGTAAGTGAGGTAAGTGAGGTAAGTGAGGTAAGTGAGGGTAAGTGAGGTAAGTGAGGTAAGTGAGGTAAGTGAGGTAAGTGAGGTAAGTGAGGTAAGTGAGGTAAGTGAGGTAAGTGAGGTAAGTGAGGTAAGTGAGGTAAGTGAGGTAAGTGAGGTAAGTGAGGTAAGTGATGTAAGTGAGGTAAGTGAGGTAAGTGAGGTAAGTGATGTAAGTGAGGTAAGTGAGGTAAGTGAGGTAAGTGATGTAAGTGAGGTAAGTGAGGTAAGTGAGGTAAGTGAGGTAAGTGAGGTAAGTGATGTAAGTGAGGTAAGTGAGGTAAGTGATGTAAGTGAGGTAAGTGAGGTAAGTGAGGTAAGTGAGGTAAGTGAGGTAAGTGAGGTAAGTGAGGTAAGTGAGGTAAGTGAGGTAAGTGAGGTAAGTGAGGTAAGTGATGTAAGTGAGGTAAGTGATGTAAGTGAGGTAAGTGATGTAAGTGAGGTAAGTGATGTAAGTGAGGTAAGTGAGGTAAGTGAGGTAAGTGAGGTAAGTGATGTAAGTGAGGTAAGTGAGGTAAGTGATGTAAGTGAGGTAAGTGAGGTAAGTGAGGTAAGTGAGGTAAGTGAGGTAAGTGAGGTAAGTGAGGTAAGTGAGGTAAGTGAGGTAAGTGAGGTAAGTGAGGTAAGTGAGGTAAGTGAGGTAAGTGAGGTAAGTGAGGTAAGTGAGGTAAGTGATGTAAGTGAGGTAAGTGAGGTAAGTGATGTAAGTGAGGTAAGTGAGGTAAGTGAGGTAAGTGAGGTAAGTGAGGTAAGTGAGGTAAGTGAGGTAAGTGAGGTAAGTGAGGTAAGTGAGGTAAGTGAGGTAAGTGATGTAAGTGAGGTAAGTGAGGTAAGTG